CTAAGACCTACAGAAGCAGGAGTGTGCTGGTAAATGTTTAACAACCAGCTTTCTGAGGGGGAAAAATGTGCACATGACACACTTTTAAGTTTAATCTAAATGATTACCATTTTCTCTATCATTTTCTTAAGTGTAGAAGCTTAACAGAACAATAAATCAAACCTTTATTTGCTGACATCTGAGTTATAAATGCTCTCACACTATAAATTTAACAATCAGTTCTCATAAGCCAGTCAAGTTGGCTCTAGCATACCCTTGTGCTGTTGCTTCTAAATCCAAGTGGGAGCTTATTTTCTTGTCACTTCTCTCATTTTCCTTAAAGTCAAAAGAAATGGAAGGAAAGCAGTAGATAATTTGGTTAATTGAGTTGATTGTGTTCCTATAACCAAATTTTGGCTTTATAATCCAAACATTTCAGCCAAAAGATAATGGGGGTTTGGGGAAGAGGAAGTAGCAAAGATTTTTCTACCTTCATATCTCATTTGAGAAGCAGTATGGAAAAAAAAAAGACTAATACTTACTGGTTGCTGACCTAAAGCAGTTCTTTTCACTTCTCTGGGCCCCAGTCTCCATTTACAAAATGAAAGGGTTAAACTGTTGATATGCTCTCGAGGGCCTCTTCCAAATCTAAAAGAGATTGTGAGATTCTAGGCTAGCTCCCTTCTGCATTAGCTCCTGATCTTCACTCCTTACACTAGGCAACCTAATTTGCTTTTCTCTTTGTCTTTCCTCAAGTTACTGCCATTGTGTGTGTCTAACGAGGTTAATATGCTGCTGCTGTAAGTATTATCATTTGGGATATAATTATCATGTATGGTTAATCATGCACATGCTGAGAAGCTGGGTAAGTTGTTGTTTTTAACTGGAGGGGACATCTTAATGATAGTTTTTGACAAGTTATATTTATGTGAACAATATAATCACACGGAGTAGAAGCCTGCTTGGATCAGGCATGAGATAACTTGGTTGAAGATTAACCATCTATGTTTTCCAAGAGTGCCAGCATTCTTAGCCCTGAGGTACCATGTTATTTTAACAAGGGAGGAATTCAAACTCAAAGGGGTAAACTAAATTACCAGGGCCATATCACAATTGAAAGACTTGATTAGAACTTTACAGCTGTTAACTTGTCAGGGAACTAAATGTTCTCCCATGAAGCCTGGCTCAAGAGACTGCCAAATTGACTCATTTTTTAATTCAGACTTTTTTTTTCCATCATAGGGGTATATAAAAATATTTAAATCCATATCAGGGGCCTAGTCCTGTGAACTACTTCCTCGGTGGTACTTCTTTTTTTTTTCTTAGTAGAAGATATTTTATTGACCTGACAGAGAATGAAGAATGGATTTTTAAGCCTTTAAATGATCAACTAAACTCTCTTTTCCTTTCTTTTTTTTAATTTTTAAATTTATTTATATATATTTAAAGCACAGGGACTTTTTTTATTTCCCTCTCCCTACCCCTGCCCTTACTGATGAAAAACCAAGAATAAAAAATTTAATACAAATATGTATAGATGAAAAATTTCTACTGATGGCATTAACTATCAGTTTGTTGTCTAGAGATGGATAGCATGTTTCATCATAAGTTCTTTAAAATTGTGGTGATCATTGTGTCAATAAGAGCTACAAACTCTTTCAAAGTTGATTACTTTTACATTATTGCTGTTACTATGTAGACTATGCTGCTCACTTCACTTTGCATCAGTTCATATGGATCTTCCCATGTATTTCTGAAGCCATCCCTTTCATTATTTATTACAGCACAATAGTATTCCATTACATTCATATACCTCAACTTGTTCAGTCATTCCCCAATTGATGGACATGCTCTCAGTTTTCAATTATATGCCACCACAAAAAAAGAGCAGTTATAAAAATTTTTGTACATCTGGGTCCTTTTCCTCCTTCTTTGATCTCCTTGGGGTATAGCCTTGTTAGTGGTATTACAGAGTCACTGTTTAATAGACTTTTGGGCATAATTCCAAATTGCTTTCCAGCATGGTTGGACTAGATCACAGCTCCACCAACAGTGCATTAGTGTGCCTGTTATCTCATATCTCCTCCAGCATTTGCTATTTTCCTTTTTTTTTGTCATCTTAGCCAGTCTTATGGGTGTGGGAGAGTAGCTCAGGGTTGTTTTAATTTGATTTCTCTAGTTATTAGTGATTTGGAATATATTTTCATATAGCTATTAATAACTTTAATTTTTTCCTCTGAAAACTGCCTATTTGGATCCTTATAAAGGGCAGCTGTGTGGTGCAGTAGATACAGTACCAGGCCTGAGATCAGGAAAATCTGAGTTCATTCAAATCCAGCCTTAGACACTTACTAGCTATGTGACCCTGTGCAAGTCACTTAATGCTATTTGCCTCAGTTTCCACATATGTAAAATAAGCTGGAGAAGCAAACAGCAAACCACTCCAGTATCTTTCTAGGAAAATCCCGAATGGGGTCACAAAGAGTTGGGCATATCTGAAATGACTAGAAAAACGATAACATGTCCTTTGACCATCATCTGGGGAATGGTTCCTATTATAAATTTGACTCAGTTCCCTATATATTCTAGAAATGAGACTTCTATCAGATAAAGTAAAGATTTTTTTCTCCCAATTTCCTGTTTTCCCTCTAATTTTAGCAGCATTAGTTTTGTTAAAACCAGTGTTTTGGTTTTGCTTTTGTTAAAACCAAAAACAGTTCATTATAAAAGACTTCTTTTAATTTTGTATAATCCAAATAATTAATTTTATCTCCTGAAACCTCTCTGTCTCTTGTTGGGTTGTGAATTCCTCCCCTATCCATAGATCCGATAGGTATTTTTCCCTGCTTCTTCAGTAGTACTTTTTAACAACAACTGACCTTGAAGACCTGGGCCTCTTCACTATATCATATATATGAAGCTTAGAGAATAGGCAAGATACAAAACCACCTTCTTTCCCCCTTTCCTCAGCAAAAGGCAGCAGTAGAAAGAACACTACCTCTAGAATTAGAGGACCTAAATCCAAATCCTGCCTGCTACTTACTACCTGAGTGACCTTGGGTAAGTCACTTAAACTGTGGTTCATATACCAAGCAAAATGGGGCGGGGAATGTTCTATGAAAAAGATTCATAGCAGCTTTGCAGAGAACTATGTAAATCCAGTGATTAGGTGTCCCAAAACTCATTTAAAAAACAAAGTCACCTCTACTAAATAGATGCTACTAAGTACAATTAAGAAGCAGAAAAACATAGCAATGATTATGTATTCAAAGTAATGATCTTGCCTGCTTTGGACATCAGTGCTGGAAGTCTCATAAGCACTATTGTTATTCAGAACTCAGGGGTTCTCCCTTGCTATATGTATTAGAGCTGTAATTTCAAACTCCCACCTAAAAACCAATGGGCTTAATAAAGATAGACTAAAATAAACCCCATCACATATAGAAAATGTGATCTCCTGCAGTGTTAAATGGTAACTAGTCATAAGCCCAAAAATGAATGTAGATTTTGGTCATGTGGTACTGTCCCTTACACATTTAAATGTTAAGGATGGGTTACTCATGTCCACTGCTTTGCTCATTCTTTTCATTTCCTTTCATTATTTATTACCTAAGCAATGACTTCTCACTTCTTGGCTGGCCAATGTTGGGGCCATGGATCAAATGGAAATAGCAGAAAATACATTGAAATAATAGAAATGTTAACTATGGTGGAGTTGACCTCTGATCAATCCCCAGCCCAGGAAGGTAATTTTAAAAAGGGCCAAACAATGAATTATGTGTAAAGATGTGTTTGAGCACTAGATTCTTTTATGAAGTATGAAGTTCTCTGATAGAAATAGAAAGACAGTTGATATTCCAATTCCCTGAGGCAGCTTGATGATACAGTGGATAGAGTATTGGGTCTGGAGTCAGAAATACCTGAATTCAAATCCAGCCTCAGACACTCACTAGCTGTGTGACCCTAGGCAAGTCACTTGACCTCTGTTTGCCTCAGTTTCTTCAACTGTAAAATGAAGACAATAATCGCACCTACCTCCCAGGGTTGTTGTAAGGATCAAATGAGATAATAATTGTAAAGCACTTATGATAGTACTATATAAATATTAGCAATTACTAAGTATGGAGGAGTTTTTCTTGATTGAATTAGAAGGGGAACTTGGATATTGTCCTTATTGAATATTGGCTATGTCCTTTCAAATAACTGACTTTGCCAGCTCTATAGCCAATCCAAGCAAGAACCAGCCTACTAGGGACCCAACACACAAGTATAAGTAAGGCACTACCATTATTAAATAATATAGACTGATCCCTAGCTACCTTTAATAAAGTAAAACTGACACAATGAAATAGTATTAAAGACTATTATAATAGGCTACCAAGAAGGTTCCAAAAAGTTAAGAGGAGAACAGACCACTATATATCAGGGATTGAATAGAATCGGAAGAGTTGAGAGGCATCTTCCATCTTCCTTACTTGACAATGAGGAAACTAAGGTAGAAAAAGGGTAAAAGATTTGTCCAATGTGACACAGAAGAGAAAATCTGGGACTAGTATTCGGTTGCCCTGACTCCTAGGCCAGTGTTTTTGTATTTTGGGTTTTTTTTTTAACTATATCACATTGGTTATTTAGTGGTATCTTTTCTAGTGATGAGGGAATTAAAAAAAAAAAGTAGACTCTCAAGATTTCTTCCAGCTCAATGGTTCCTGATAATACAAATGAATTACTTGGCATTAACAGATGTCAATTGTGTTTACATATTATATTACTGAAAATGCTGAGTTTTCTCATTCATAAAAATAAAAACATAGACATTAAAGTAGGATTCAGCATGTTGGGTATCAGAAAACCCTTGGATTGTGAAGGAGTTTCTACCTAGTTAAACTGAGAGGCATTGAAAAACCCATCTAAACCCATTAAGATCTTTTTTAGAATAAAAATTACAAAAATTAGATGAAGGTAGGTATGGCTTCAACTGGTCTCTGTAAGTACTTTTGCTGGCAGAACAGAATTTCACTTACCAGGAGGTCTGTTAATAGCAAGGTTTCGGAAATGGCTGCCTTTGATAATTTCTACAGATAATCGTCCCGTTGTGGCATTATATGACAACCCCACCAAGAGCTCTGGCACCCCTCCATGAGACAAAGACTGTGTGGATGAAGCACTATCACTGTGAGAAACCGCAGACAGGCTGAGCTGAGACTCTCCACTCTGGCAGGAAAGAACAACAAAGAAACCATTGGGACACTTCACACTACTCTCTTTTCTATCCAGCTTACATTATGTTGGGTGAAATTGTGACATGATTTCAATGGCTGCCAAAGATTTCAAATTGTGCACTCTATGTGAATAATAATGGGGCAGGAGGACAGAATCAAGGATAAGGTCTCCACATCATCAGCCAGACACATTTGTTTAAAGATCTGTCTCTGTTCAATATTTCCTCTCTGAAAACAAAAGACCAAAAATGTTATTACCAATGTAAATCAAAACCTTGAATATACACACACAGATAATAATACATTTAATATAGACCAAAATTCCCCTTAGAGTAATTTCTACTTGAACATTTCAACAGAATTTATCTACTCTAGCACTGCCTCTCTGTTCCCTATTATTTCTTAAGGAATATAGCAATGCATGTGGTCATGATTTTGGAAAGCTATATTATAGCATACAAAACATGGGATCTCTCTTTTTTTTTAAACTTTTTGGAAGGTTGTAAATTGTATCTGTTATCTCCTTTCCCTTTCCCCCAGGAAAATAGATAAAAATGAAATTCTACAATTCATTGAACAGATTCTCACACATTTTTTAGATAAGTCAATGTGAGGTTATACACTGTAGCATCTTTGGGGATAGAAAAGTGAGGGGTAATCTGACCTTTGCTTTCATTCCACATGGACTATTTCCAGGGTGGAAACTTTCTCCACTGATGGAGTTAGGCAACTCTTTGTAACATACATGTTTAGGAGGCAGCTAGGTGACCCAATGGATAAAGTGCTGGGCCCAGAGTCAGGAAGACCTGAGTTCAAATCCCACTTCATACTTTTACTAGATATGTGATGCTGGGCAAGTCACTTAATCTCTATTTGCCTCTATTTCCTCAGCTGCAACTGTAACTGTAACTGTAAACTGTAAAGCAACTATAAAATGGGGATAATAATAGCACCTACCTGACAGGGTTGTGAAGATCAAATGAGATAATATTTGTAAAGTGTTAACTTAGCACAGTGCCTACCACATAGTAGGTACTACATAAATGCTTATTCCCTATTGCCTAGCACACTGAGAAGTTAAGTGACTTGCACAGGGTCACACAACTATTATGTGTCTGAGGCCAGTTGAACTCAGGTCTTCCTGACTCAAGGTCCAGCACTCTATCCCCTGAGCCATCTAGCTGCTTCAAAGGATAATATAGCTTATTTTACAGATGAAGAAAGTAAGGACCATAGAGGTGAATTGGCCTGTCCAATCGGCCTGTCCCTTGGTCACTAGATTTAGAATCAAAATACCATGATTGAAATCCTAGATATATTATTTAGTACCTGTGTGAACTTGGAAAAATAATTCACCTCTATTTGCCTCAGTTTGCTCATCTATAAATGAAAGTTTTGGATTAGATTGTAATCAAGGCCCAATCCAGCTCTAAATCCTATGATCCTGTAAGTCCAAGATGGGCCTAAAAAAGAAAATCAAGCTATTATATGTCACTGCAAAAAAAAGGGGGGGGGGAACCTCAATACCCAACAATAGGGAATGGCTAAATAAATTGTGGTATGCTGATGAAAAGAGGCAGTGTGGTGTAGTGAATAGAAAGCTGGTCTCACAGCAAGATAAGTTCAAGTCCCACGTCTGAAACATACTCACCATATGACCTTAGGTAAGTTTCTTTGTTTGTTTTTGTTTTTAGACTTCTGAACACCCCAATAAACTCTCTAAGACTAAAAGTTACAAAGGTGCCAATATTTATTGGTAAGGGAAATTATCCATATTGGGGGTTCCCCATACCAATTAAAGCACTAATCTCATCCCATCCACTATCATATTAATAGAATGCAAGATGCAATTAAAACCACAACATATGGACAAAACAAAGAAACTTAAAAAGATTTTTATTAAATAATGCAAAACAAAATCATTTGAACTAAAAAATGGGATAAATATAGATAAGCTGAACTGAGGAAAAAATAAGTGAGATTGAATAAAGGATTCTGATGATGAATTGGAACGAGTGAAATACTGTTACGATTTGTTAAGTGCTGAAATAATTAATTTAAATGTATGTTTTTACTAAGCAAATTTATGTTTAAAATGTCTAAAAAAGAATACCAACTTACCTACAACATTTATTCAATCAACAAGCATTCACTGCCCACTTTGTACACCAAAGTCTAGAAAGATGGAGGAAAAAAATCTCCTGCTCTTTCATATCTATCTATCTATCTATCTATCTATCTATCTATATATATATATTACTTCACCTCTTTAGATCTGTTTTCCTCATAAGTAAAATGATGGAATTTGAAGGAAAAGATGATCTGTAATGTTTTTTCCAGCTCTGATTAATAATTAATAAGACAGCAATTGCTCTGAAAGGGAAGTGGACAGCATCTCTATCTATCTGTGATTTTTGCTCTTCATTACTTCCCGTATAGTCCACACTCAATAGGAATATATTTCCTAGCTTCTTCTTCCATATCTACCCCTAAATAAACACTAAATTTGGGATTCTGTGATATCCCACCTGATTTAAACTCTGTCTTTATATTTCTTGACTCATGAATCTAACATTCTCTATACATTCCCCTACCCACTCCTGCCTACTTCCTGGGTGATATAATATTAACTTTGTGACTATTACAAAACAAATTATGATAGTAATAGGCTTCACTATACAACATGATGTAAAACATTTCAAGTAATTCTCTGCTTTAATGCTTACCCATCTTTCACATTTAAAAGTTGGATATTAAGATGCAAATTGCCCAATTCCTGAAGGTACAGAAATTTAATGAAATGCATTCCTCCCTCCCTTTTCAGCAACAGAAATTACAATAATTACAAGCAATTAATAATGTATTTATATTGTCCCATCAACAGAGCTAAGAATTTGGCCTTTAAGGTCTTAGCTCCATTCTTTTTTCCGAGGACTCATGGCAAGAGGAAAATGTGCATGATCTAACAGTCATTTTCAAACAGCCAACTTTATAAAATGGAGGGTCTCACATATAGATGCAAATATCTAGTGCTGGAGCTAACTTTTCAACTTGCAAACACAAGTGGTTCTCTTCTGAAAACCTGACATAGGAAGAAGAGAATACCAGAAGGACAAACAAACACTTTATTTGATGGAATAATCCCCAGGGTCAGAGGGTGTGCAGCCTTACCTGGAGTACCAGGCTGTCTAACTTGAAGACCCTGCCTCAGATGTACATGCTGCATTCCAGTTTCTGAAAGTCTGGTGTTTTAATTTTTTTCTAGGGAAAATTTCAATCATAAGTGAACCTCAAAGCCTATTTACTCTCCTTATGTGTTGATGTCTTGCCCTTCCATCTCTACCCTATTCTAACCACTGCTTTCACTTCCTAAAATGAAAAAAAACTGAATAAATCTATCAAGTTAATGTGAAGGTAAGCATAAAGATCCCCTGTACCATAACCAGAATTAATGGCTTACAAAATAATTGCATGTGAAGATCCAACAGAAAACTAGATAGAAGGGTCTATTGAATTCCAATGTATCTGACTGAACATGATAAATCAATAGCTAGCAACTCTAACCCCTCCAGTAAAATACTTTAAATTGGCTAACACCACCATAAATACTTACACTCATATTACTCCTTGGCTCCAAAACCAAAGTCACTTTCATTTTCCCTTCTTGGCGCAACTGGCTAAGGTGAAACAGCTTTTCTCCCATCATCTTCTCTCGGTTCATCTTGAGTATAGCATATAGACGAAACCTGACTGCGCAGCCCCCCAAATCTTCAGGCTCCAGTTTACTAAAGAATACTTTCTCTTTGAAGATTGGGGTGGGCCCTCTTTGAACACTAGTCTTACCCCTTTGCTTCTTTCTGGGAAGCAGTACAGTGTGAACTTGCCATGCATTGGCACCGCTTCGATCTTTATCTGGAATGTTCTGGGCCTTTACGATGGTCACTGCAAGCTTTTGGTTGGAAAGATTATATTCAAAGATGACATCTAAGTCCCCACACTTTGAGATGGGTTCATAGGCACTGGGAGGGAAGTGAGGAATATTGAGTCCATCGTGCTCCTGTAACAAGCAGAAGATTAAGATATAAATGGAAACAAATTTATCATTTTTCAGTAGTCAATAGAATCTTTACAAGACTGACCTATTTGCTTAGGTATTAACATGGAATTAAATCAAACACGGCTCTTTGTCAGTCATTGACTCCACCATGATTTTCTGGAGCCATTTCCAAAGTATGAAAAAGTTGAGCCCAAGTTTGAACTGATCCAGTCAAGTGTGACTGAGTCAAATGTCTCCTGCATGATCCCATTTCTTCTGAAGACTCCAATCTTGCTGGTGATGCAGGGCAGAAAACAATATAAACAGATATGTGCCTCCATATATCTATATTAACAATGCCTTTTGTTATTTTCATCATGGTCATTTCTTGATGTCTACCCTGTCATTATAAACATGACCAACAAAATGACTGTGTTAACAGTACATTATCAGGTACATTTTCAATCTACATAGCTGAAGTAAGCCAATGTTTGGTCAATACCTGATATAGCCTTCTCCTATGAATTGAAGCTGTTATAGCTTTCTGCTAAGCATTAAAACTTAACATTGATTCTGCTCACTAATAAAACCATCAAAAGGTATCATGTTTCCTATTTACAAGCCAAGACAAAAAAAAATGAAAGTCTTTATGCATATCAATGTACTAACAAAGATTTTGTTTGTTTAGATTCCTCTTCACACCATGAATTATTGACATTTTCTTCTCCCTTGATATAGCATGAGTGCCTCTCTACATTTTGTGAGTTATTTTAATTTTTAGGACCGAAAATATATTACTATAAAAGTTGAGGTTTCTTGCAAAATGAGAGGAAAGCTTTCCATATCCTTTCTCTCTGAGCATATCAACACATAAGAGTTTCTATTCAGGGACATTTATCTGAGTAAGTTTCAAGTGATAAAAGTGGTTGCTATAGAGATTGGTTTGAATAAAAATGACATGCATATGTATATGCATAAATAATACTGGAGAAGAGTCTTTGAAAGATAAGTTAAGCCTTCCCACTGAGAAACTGTCACAGTTCTCTGTTAAAATACCAAGCTTTTCTATTCTTGATTACATTGCTTGACTAATTAAAAGCCATGGATAATACAGAAATTTCATCTTGGCCAACAGAGAAAAGCTGTACTGTTGGATAGAGTTCTAGATTGGGTTTCAGGAAGAACTAGGTTCAAATCCTCCCTTAGTGACAGTTAAGTCAATGAATCAATAAGCATTATTAAGTACCTTTTATGTGCCATGCACTACGCTAGAGCTCTGGGATTGAACGAAAAACTGAAATAGTCCTTCCCCTCAAAAAAAAGAAGTTTATTAGGAAAGGTGATCTGTACATTCATTAGTATATACAAGGTAATTTTTTTTGAGGGGGGATGCATTAGTAGCTTGATTGATCAAAACAGGTTTCCTATAGAAAGTGGTGTTTGAAGGAAATTAAGAATTCTAAGAATCAGAGACAAGGAGGGAGTGCATTTTCAAGCTGAGGAGATAACCAGTACAAAGGCATGGAGAGGAGATGTGAAGATTTTTGTGCAGGGAACAGAAAGGAGGCCAGTTTCACTGGAACATATAGAACAAAGATGGAAGTAAGGTGTAAGAAGACTGGAAGAGTAGGAAGGAGTCAAGTTATGATGAGCATTAAAAGCTGAACAAATGATTTTATATTTGATCCTGGAGGTAACAGGGAGCCACTAGAGTTCATTGGAGAATGATGGTGATGACATGGTCATATCTGCACTTTAGAAGGATCACTTTTACAACTGAGTGGAGAATTGTTAAGAGTGGGAAGGAGGCACAGAGACCAATAAGCAGGCCATTGCTATAGTCTGGGTGTGAGGTGATAAGGGCCTGTACTAAGGTAGTAGCAGTGTCAGAAGAAAGAAGAAGGCATATACAAGAAATATTGCATAGATAAAGACCAACAAGACTTGGCAAAGATTGGATATGGGGCGTGAGAGGGAGTAAGGAGTTGAAAATAACACCTAACTGTGACTGGAAGGACAGTGGTACCATGGAGAGTAATAGGGAAATTAGTAGCAAGAGAGGAGGGTTGAGTGGGAGATCATTAGTTTAGTTTTAGACACATTGAGATCAAGATGTCAATAAGACATCAAGTTTGAGATATCCAATAGGCAGTTAGAAATGCAAAAATGAAGATCAGGAGAGATGTTAGGGATAAATAAATAAGTTTGAGAACCATCTGAATAGATATGAAAATTGAATGCAAGGGAGCTGATAAGATGACTTAGGGAAATAGTATGTTGGGAGAAGATATGAGGGCCAAGGACAGAGCTTTGGGAGATACCCAGAGGTCCAGCAAAGGAGAAGGAGAATGATATCAATCAGATAAGAGAACTAGAGGAGAGCAGTGTCACACACACACACACACACACAGAGGGGCAGAGCCAAGATGGTGGAGTAAAAGCAGTGACTTGCTTGAGCTATCCCCCAAACCCCTTCAAATACCTGTAAAAAAATAGCTCTAAACAAACAAAAAAAATACTAAAGAGAAGACAGCTTCAAAGAGAAGAGGATAATCAACCATGTCAAAGGCTGCAGAAATGTCAAGGATGAAATCACTATAGCACTAACTTCATATATTTGTTATATGGATCAAAAATCTCAAAATGAGGTAAAGCAAAGGCATGGTAATGCTTTTATATAAGAAATCAAGATGTTCATGTAGTAGATATAAAGAGACAGTTGAAGTGTGAAACAAACTGTACTGTAACCTTAATACAAAAGAACTAATGAAAGATATTTGAAAGGAAACTGCTACATTGAAACAGAAACTCTGACAGTAAAGCCCAACTTGCTTCCTAATAAGAATAGAAAGCTCTTTAAAAAGGTATTGCTGTGGTTAAGGAGATACTGTAAATAGAAACCACAAATTAACATTATCAATGTTGTATTGTATTTTTACTTATTTTGTTAAATATTTCCCAATTACATTTTAATCTAGTTCAGGTTGCTAGTTTGATAACTATGGAAAACCATTCACCAACTTAGGTACATATGTATAAAGATTGATAGTTTATAATAGAGCAAGAAACATCCAATCTATCTAACTAACCTAAATTATAATGCGGCAGAATAGGAGAAATTAACTTCTTGTAGCCAGATAAAGTTCCTGATTGATTTTTTATTTAAATATAATAGTCCTTTGTATTTTCTATTTGTACATGCAATGTTATACAGATGTTGTTATTACACTTAACTATTATTTTGTTTGTCAGTATAGTTTTGCTGTTTTTTTCTCCTTGAAAGTAATTACGTAATGTGTGCATGCTTTATGCTTTGTGTATGCAAGTGTGGATACATATATTTATTTCACTATATTAAATGCATACCTTGTTAAGTGCTGCTTTCCATTATGAAATGTTTATTGTATATAATACCAAGGTGGATTTGATGGACTCCAAGTGGTTTTCCAAGAGACTAAAATTTCTCTCCACAGGGAGAAATGTAGCACCAGCTTCAATAGCACCTCTCACAGAGACTATTATTTTATCTTTAAAAGGAGATGGAGGGAAGTGGAGCAAACATGGCAGAGAAAAGGCAGGGACTCACTCAAGCTCTTCCTAAAACCCCACCAAACAATTTTAAATAATGCCTCCAAACAAATTCTAGAGCAACAGAATCCACAAAAGGATGGGGTGAAACAATTTACCAGCTCAAAAAAACTTAGAAAGTTGACAGGAAAGATTGGTTGTATCAGGATGAAAATGAAGCTCAGTCCAGCACAAGCCACATTCCAGCAAACCAGCAGTAAGCCTTGAGGGCAACTGAATCAGTGGTGACAATGACATTTTCCTGACCTCTCAGCTCACAGATAGTAAAGGGGTCAGACAACTGGTCAGAAAGAGATTACAGGAGTCCCTTTGCTGACATCAGTAGCAGGATTCTGTTGCATTACCCATACTGATCTGGGTCACAGTCCTGGGTCTTAGTCTCAGGGCAAGGAGGAGCACTAACACATCAAAGCTTGTGGCTACAGAGAAGCTGAGACCCTGGTCACAGTTCCAGGGTAGAAAAAAGTCCTTGTGGTCACTCATAGACCAGAACACAGACCAGGAGAGCTGTAAACACACCTCTCCCTAGATCATACCACCTTAAAAGAAATGAAAACTTACAGTTCCCCAGAATTATCTCTGAAAACACCTGCACAAAAAACCAGAAGTTTGGGACAGTGCCCCCTCCATTACAGAAGCCAAGAAATACAGAAATTACAGAAATCAAGAAATAGTCTGGAAAATGAGCAAAGAGTAGAAAAAGAACCTGATTAGAAAGTTACTTAATGACAGGAAAGATCAAAACACAAACTCAGAAGAAGACAATAAAGTCAAAACTACTATATCCAAAGCCTCAAAGAAAAATAGGAATTGATCTCAGGCCACGGAAGAGTTCAAAAAGGATTTTTAAAATCAAAGAAGAGAGGTAGAAGAAGAATTGTGAAAAGAAATGAAACATGAGAAATGAGATGCAAGAAAATCATGAAAAAAGAATCAACAGTTTGATAAAGGAAGCACAAAAAAATGAAGAAAATAATGCCTTGCAAAACAGAATAGGCCAAATGGTAAAAGAGGCACAAAAACTCAATGAAGAGGAGGATGTCTTAAAAAGCAGAGTTGGACAAATAGTAAAAGATATACAAAAATTCACTGTATAGAAAAACTCTTTGAAAAGTAAAATTGTCAAAAAATTGAAAAGGAGGAGCAAAGCTCAAGGAAGAAAGTAATTCCTTAAAAAGTAGAATTGGGCAAGTGGAAACTAATGACTTTATGAGACATCAAGAAACAATAAAACAAAGCAAAAGGAATGAAAAATAGAAGACAATGTGAAATATCTCATTGGAAAAACAAATAACCTGGAATATAGATTCAGGAGAGATAATTTTAAAATTATTGGACTGAAAGCCATGATCAAAAATAAGAACTTAGACATCATCTTTCAAGAAATTATCAAGGAAAATTGCCCTGATATTCTAGAACCAGAGGGTAAAATA